TGCCGCGCTAGCCACTGCGTCCAATGCCATCACCAGCTACTTGACTGACTAGGACAGTAGAGTGGTGCATGAGAGATGGGATAGATGGTGAAGCGGACACTGTGGAATCCGTCATCATGACACGCTCCAGCGCACTCCGAGCCGCCCTTATAAATATCTGGCCCATTTAGTGCAAGTCACTGCGTCCGCAGCAACCTCCGGTCGTGTTGATATTCTTTTCTCGTCGGAACATGGTAGGTGAGGGAGGAGGGAGCGCGGTAGGCACAGTGCAAGTCCACCTTACGCACGCAGGTCACCGGTGTTGCGCCCAACTGTACGCGGTCCCTCGGCAGACCTCGTCGTCTGCGACGGTCAACAGTTCAGGTATTTGTGCTGTATTGACAGGTTGTACTATATTTCCGAGGGCCCACCAACGGATGCATGTCGCAAGCGCGCGAAGGCGGCGGTAATGCCCATGTCATGCGCCGCTGTGCGGTTGCTGGTTGGGCTCGAGAGAGAGCCCGTAAAGCTCAACGGGACGAGTGAGTTCCGTAAAAACGATCGGTGAGCGCCTTCTACCATTGTATATTCCCAATCGAAACTGACAGGACAACAGGCTCCTCGCCCAGTGGTTAGAGGCGTGGACTTTTAACTACCAGGTCGCGAGTTCGAGCCTCGGGTGTTCCACATTTCGGGATTGGGTATGACTGGCTGACGACGGCCAATAAACCAGAATTTGTCATTTCAGTCTCCCTTGTCTTTGTCCGTAATGCTATTTGGCGTCCACTGCAGTTTGTGGGTGTGGAGGGCACATTTGATTTCTAGGCGTTATGGCACACAATTTTGTTCTGATTCTTGCCCGACGTTTCATTAGCCGCATTATCTTGTCGCGACACTTACAGTGGATGGGTAAGGAGCTACTATCACTGTTATCTGGCAGGAACCCATCTCTGCGGTTGACGGTAACCAAGTCCCTGGATCCTGTGCGGCAGGTCCGACGTCAGAGTTTCGGAACCATTCACCGCACCTTTGTTGCAACCGGAGCATGCAACCCTGCAACTCCGGCCCTTTTGTTTTCATAACGCGAAATCGTCGACAAGTACTACCCTTTAGCAATCCAGGAGGTTTTACGCATATATTAGAAGCATTATGTAGCCTGGGACCCCCCCCCCTGCAACCCCCACTGTGAGCAGCTGTCCATCCTGACTTCGTATTATCAATATAAGTTCGCTGAGATCATTCAGTTAGTTGAAAAGGCTCCCCTTCGCACTCACTTGACACTGACGTTTTATGATGGATTGACTGTCGCATCTGACGATGTCCACCGTGTGCCTCACAGCAAGGTAAAACGGCCAGGGTGACTTGCGTGGGATTTCTTTTATAGCGATAGTGGACTTGCATAGCATCTACTCACTCCCTCCTCCTCCCCCCCCCCCCACCTGGACCTGGTGTCAAGACAGAGTCAAGAAGACCGGAGGCGGGGATGACACAGGTGGATGGTGTGGCCGGAACCTCACCTAGGCGTACCACCACATCCCTCGATCCACAACAAACGCTTGACCTTTGGAGTAGGTGATACCATACTAACAGCAGAGGTACTAGCCAAAAGCCCATACACGCGTGTTTCGTCGACGTTTTGCCGCTGAATGAGGCAGCTGCGAGGGGTTCGTCTCGTCAATGGGTCCCCCAGCATTCCCCACTGGGACCATTTCGAAATCTCTACTAAGAATATAGGCTTTTGGCAAACCGTCATACATGATATTACACCAATTCTTAGAAGATGTTTACATATTAACTTTACTAAAAGACTATCTTCAAATGTTATCCTATTTTTGATGTCACATTTACTTAGTTTTTCTAAATAAACAGGCTTTCTACATGTACATCTAAAACAGAAGGTTACTCAACTACGGCCATTTTTGACGTCATCGATACGTTCCGCCTTTCTAAAAAAGGTAGAATTTCTAGAGGAGGCAATATTATGTTTAATAGGTTTTCCATATTTTCAGCTCCCTGAAATTTGTTCTTTATGAATAAAGGTGTTGGGTCCATTAATTTGTGCCGGTTCGGCATCTTTCATCCCTCAGGTCACCTACTGTACGACGCCGCATTTTGGTGGCTTAGGGTGTTGGGCGGAAACATCGTCAGTCAGTCAAAATTAAGAGTCAATCAGAACGGTCCCATCCTTCGCCTTACACAGTTGCTACAAGTTAAAAGCAGACTAGTACTGGTCAGCTGTTACACAGAGTTTTCAGATAGCCTACTATTATGGAGGTAGCATGAGTGGGGTTTACTGATGGAGTAGTTCACCATTACTCTTAAATATACTGAACTGCACTTGGATAGAGTATATTAAAATAGGTGTTGACCTTTACATTTGTGAATGACTCGCTGGATCCAGACTCGCGTCCAGACTATTTGTTGTTAGTAGTCGTGTCAACGCCTGCATAGGCTCTAGCGTCTCAGGCCCAAGCCAAAGCGTAAATGTCCATTAGGGTAGAGGGATATCATACTAAAAGCCCAGGTAATTGCCAAATGCCCACAAACGCGTGTTTCACCGATATTCTGCTGCTGCATGGCGCAGCTGAGAGGGGCTCGGCTCATCAGTGGGTCCCCCAGCATTCCCCGTGTGCTTTCTTGTAGATACTCCAATTTAGAAATTGTCGCTTTTTAATTTCCTGAGGAATTATCTACGAACTTGGAGTAGTTCAGTTTATTCAAGGTCTATAGACTCAGACCGACTTTGGCCCAAATATTCATGTATAAAATTCTGGGTCTGAGCCTATAGACCTTGAATAAACTGAACTACTCCAAGTTCGTAGATAATTTCTCAGGAAATTAAAAAGCGACAAACACTTGACCAGGATTTTAACCAAAGACATCGTAACAACGGTCAGAAAGACGAGGATGACTTAGAAACCATGTTCACAAACTGTTTATCCAGTAGGGGTCGCGCAAGCACATCTACCGGTAGGGAACTAGGTGCCAGAGAACTTCTCTCGCATAACAGGCTACGAGGGTTATGGTTTGTTGATAATGGTATAGCAGATGCCTACATACTTTGATACTCAGAACAGCCACATGCAGCCCCACATCTAGCTTGGGCCATCACCCTTCAGAGGCTGGGTAACCAGTCTCTAGTGGACTGAAAGGCACTGCCCGCAAAACACACACTACTAGCATGCGTGGTAGTGCCAGAATTCGTGGCAGCCTGACTCTCAGTCTATTAGTCCGCCACTCCGCACAAACACACACAACGGCGTTGACTGAGTTGAGGCGTCAGTCGGTAACGTTCCTAGCCAGGACGCTTGCGTACCGGGATATTCTCAGACTCGGATTGCACATACAGCATAGGGGCCGCATGGAGAAGAAGCCTAGAGGCACACTTCCCACCTGCGTGAAAGGTGGCGGTTGAGTGCTTCGCGTCGTGTGGCGATGGGTGATGTTGTTGTGTGGTGCAGGTGCTGGTGGGATGCTTCAAGCGCTGGTTCGTCAGCCTCTATGCAATGGGTTCACAACTGACTGACCACGCCGTTTTGCAAGGTGAATATACGGTGACAGTTCTTGCAGGATTGATCGGGAGTGCCAAAATCAGTTTCGGTAGTGATAGTGATGTGGAGGCGCTGTTAAAGCCAGGCGAGTTGAGCCTTGTCATGTAGATTAGTCTAGGCTTGGTGGATGTGCAAGCTGTGCTAGTTGTGCCTTCAGTGTGGGGAATTCCGCTCTCGTGGACACGCAGGTGACCTAGTAGGTCCATGCGGTGGGTGAATGTGCGCTGTCTATGTGGGCAATTGATGTGGATATGGCGAGTGTCGGTTGGTGCTCTAGGCACTGCTTCGTCAGCCTCTGTGCGATGGATTCGCAAGTGACCGAACAGGCCATTGTGTGAGGTGAATGTCAGATCTTAATTAGAACGGTTGTGGACCGAGTTCGCATCACCGGAGGTGGGGGGTGCTCGTGGTGATGGTAGCAAATGATGGGACATCGAACGTCGTCCCATCGGTGGGCGAGAGCATGATATCATGGTTTTGGTGGGCCTGGTTGTTGTGGTGAGCGCTAGGACTGGAGCAGAGCGATGATGTCGGTGGTTGGTGGCGGTGAGGCAGCCGCTAAATGATTGGCGGTGACAGGGGTGGCCGCTTTAGCGGGGTTTGTAACAGCATGTCCCCGCTGGTCTCGCCTCCGGACGAGGATGTAGTCCAGCAGATGCAACTGACGCGACCGAGGATGTATCCGGGTTACCTTCTTTCGCATTGGCAGGCAGAATTAGGTGTTTGTCAGGATGAGTCGATGCTCTGCGCAGGCTCGTAAGAGGAGCAGGCTACTGTTATTGGGGCCGTCGAGACCACAGGAACCCAGCACTCCTTTCCAGGCAGCATGATCTGTGCCATGCCAGAGGGCAGTTTAAATAACTGGGGTATTCTTTGTGGTTTTATTGTTATAAACAATAATTTTAACAGAGAACGACAGAGTTAAAGAGACAGCGTTGAAAACTGAAAGCTGGGTATGCATTCGAGACGATTAGATTAGCACGTCCGCACATGGCAAAAACCGCTTATGGTCAGTTTAAAAGTGAAGGACATCAATCTACAATATGTCAGAGTGACCATGTAGTTCTCATGTGGGAATACACATTATTCTCCCTTCCTGCACAACCGCTCGATTCCCGACCCAATATTTGGCGCGGCGATTTCGAACAGATGAAAAAGGATCTTAGTCCTATCGACTGGGCATCCACTCTCTCCGGCGATGTCGAAGAGGCTTGGTGTCAGTTCAAAGAGTTAGTCCACAACCTCATCTCCAGCCACTGTCCAATCATGCGCAAAAGACTAACAAATAGACCTCGCTGGTTGACTCCGTCGTTAAAGAAGGAAGTTAACAAGAAGAGGAAGCTATGGAAAAGATCGCTGACGGATCGCACGCCAGAATCCCTAAGCAGTTATAAGTTTCAGAGAAATCGGGTCAAAATTCTCATCGCCAGAGATAGGAAAGCTTTTGAAAAGAATCTTTTGAACCGTGCCATGATTAATCCAAAAATCCTTTACAGCTACATAAGACAGAGCACACGGAACAAAGATCCTGTCCCACTGCTGCGAACGGCTGAGGGTGTGGAAATCTCTGATGACAAGGATAAGGCTGAACATCTCTCTCAGTTCTTCCGATCAGTCGTGACAAGTGAACCTGCTTTTTCCTCACCCACTTATGAAGACGATGGAACGCCTACCCTCGAAGCCGTCTTCTTCACCGAAACAATTGTTGGGAAAGAGTTACTACACCTAAAAGAATCGACCTCCCCGGGCCCTGATGCAATTCCGGCCAAGCTGCTGAAGGAACTAGCTTCCGAAATGTCCAAGCCGTTAGCCTCGATCTTTCAAACGTCATTTGTTACCGGATGCCTGCCCTCTGACTGGAAGTCCGCTACCATCATTCCGCTTTTCAAGGGTGGAAGTCGTGCGTCTGCGAATAACTACAGGCCAGTGAGTCTTACCTCCATCTGTTGCAAAATCATGGAGAAGATCATTAAGAAGGCCTTGGTGCAGTTCCTCGAGCAGCACCATCTCCTTTCTGATGCCCAACACGGCTTTCGTAGTGGTAGGTCCTGCCTCACGAATCTGCTCTTTACGCTCGAACGCTGGACCAAAGCACGTGATGAAGGCAAGGTGGTGCATGCCATCTAAATTGACTTCAAAAAGGCTTTCGACAGCGTTCCTCATCAACGTCTCTTGTACAAACTGCGCAACGCTGGAATTCGTGGACGCCTTCTTGTATGGATCCAGAGCTTTCTGGCTGGACGGTCCCAGAGAGTGCAGGTCGGGCGTCAACAGTCGTCAGATGTAAGCGTGGTGAGTGGCGTCCCACAGGGCTCAGTCTTAGGTCCCACGTTATTTCTCGTTTTCGTAAATGACTGCGTCAAGGACCTAGACTGTGATGCCATCCTGTTTGCCGACGACATAAAATTGTGGAAAGTTATTCACAATGCGGCAGACGCAGACCACCTGCAAGCAAACTTGAACAGGCTCGAAGACTGGTCGAAGCGCTGGCTTATGCCCTTCAATATAAGCAAGTGTAACTTTCTTCAACTCGGCGGCTTCAGAGCCCCCAGCCCCAGGACCTACTTTCTAAACGGCACACCACTGCAACAGGTTGACAGTCAGAAGGACCTGGGTGTATGGATTACATCTTCACTCAAACCAACACTGCACTGCGCGAAGGCGGCTAAATCGGCTACGGCCACATTGCAACTCATTAGGCGAGCATTTATGGGATTTGACCCTGACTGCTTTTCCAAAATATTTGGCACCTTCGTGCGACCTCATCTAGAATACGCCATACAGGCGTGGAGACCCTGGACTGCCAAGGATTATACCGTCTTGGAGAAGGTCCAGAGACGGGCGACCAAAATGACACAAGGTCTGGGAGCACTGCTCTATGAAACCAGACTGTCAATCCTCAACCTGTTTCCCCTTTCCTACAGGCAATTACGTGGTGACCTTATACTAACATTTCGCATCATCAACGGCCTAGACTGTTGTTTAGATCCCACTGATTATTTCACCCAAGCTAACACGCCCAATTTGCGCGGTCATCCCCTGAAACTACGCGCAGGGAAATCAAGAACCAATGGACGAAAGTCCTTTTTCAGTAACAGAGTGGTTGCAGCCTGGAATGCCCTACCTACCGACGTTGTAACCTCCTCCTGTGTGAACTCCTTCAAGTGTAGACTTGACCTGCATCAAGCTTCCCAATTGCCAACCCCACATCCACTCACATAACCCGGTATTCTCTTATATGTGTTTATACTACTTGTAATTAGTAAGTAACCATTAATGATTACTCTTTTTCGGCTAGCTGACAGCTGTCCGCGAGTATGTACAAAATCCCTTTTTCACCTTCCCATTTATCAATGTTTTTCTCCGACGACTTGTAACCAAGAGGGAATTCAAAGGCGCTTGCCTATATTTCCCTTAATAAACTGATACTGATACTGATGTGTAGATGAATAAGAATTCCGAAACGAGGAAAAATTTTTCATATAATACCAATTTACTTGAAAACAATTAGCATAAAATGCGACTTGATGTACAAACTTGCCTTACTTTGGTCGGTCAAGCATGTGCAACAGGAAACCACCCGCCGTTGGGGCCAGAAGGCCGACCAGCGGTCGTTCTGATCGATTTACTTCAAAACCGCTTTCTTCATACTTTGCAAGCTTGTTCACAGGCTGCTTTGCCAAACTAAATGAAATTGCTTACCCGTCTACACAAGCACAACTGTCGACTCGGATACTTAATCCAAGCTCACAGCTTTTAACTCACATCGGAGGAACTGACCGCAGGTTTGACTTCCGAGGAACAACTCTCTCAAAGCGATGCAAATACGATTTTCCCGTCCCTCTTATGCAAGATATTTAATCTTGCTCTTGAAAGGGAAACTTATCCTACCTTGTGGAAGGAATCACACATTTTGGCCATTACTAAGCACGGCAAATCTACATCCTTTGATGACTTTCGGCCAATAAACACCCTCCCTGCAGTTTCGAAGATCTTAGAGACATTGATCAAAGATAAAATGATGTGTCACTTAACAGTGAATAACTTACTGAGTGCTGCCCAGCATGGATTCCTCAAAGCTCGATCTTGTGACACCTGTCAACTCTCTTTCTTTGACTATGTTCTCCAATCTAGGGACCATGGTTTTGCTCTTTACACAGTATATTTCGATTTCACTAAGGCTTTTTACCGTGTTGACCATGCTCTTCTTCTCTTGAAACTGTCCTCTTTCGGAATAGGTGGCAAACCTTTAAACTTTATATCCTATTACCTCGGCACTCGTACACAACGAGTTAAGATTTCCAATAATATCTCCAACCCCGCACGTGTGAGGAGTGAGTCATTCAGGGTAGTGTACTCGGCCCGCTTTTATTTTGCCTTTTCGTTAATGATGTGCCCGATTTATTTCAGAATGGTAAGCCTTTCATGTATGCCGATGATCTTAAAGTGGCATATCGATATAAG